GGTATTTAAAAAGGCCTGAATCCAGGTGTGGTGGTGAACGCCAATAATCCTGGTGGTTTGGGAGGCTGAGGCAGGAGGATTGCAAATTGGAGTTCAGCCTCAGCACTTTAGTGAGACTGTATCTCAAATTAAAGATTAAACAACAACAACAACAACAAACACTGGTAATGTAGCTCAGTGGTAGAGTGCCTCTTGGGTCAGTCCCCAGAACACCCTGCAAAGCAAAGCAAAACGAAACAACAACAACAAAGGGCCTGAGACCTTTGCAGTTAACACATGACACAGTATCACATCTAAAAACACTGCCCCCTAGCTGCTGGGACATTTCATGTGACCTATTTCTGCTCTCTGCTGTCAGTCTGAGAGTGAAGGGTCATGGTCAGCATGTTAAATGCCCAGTTTGCTCCCCCTTAGGATAAATTTGAGCTTGGTCCCCAGTAGCCCATTTCCACCCTCCCACAGAAATGCTCCGAAAAGGAAAAATCAGAGCGTTTTGTAAATATACTTACCAAATAATCTTTCCTCCTGAAAGCATATTCACGTTCTGGCAGAGAGGCTGCCTTTATTCTACCCTAGATGCAAATGCATCCCAAGTACTGGTGAGGGACCCTTTATCCAAGTTTGTAAAATGCTTGAAGAAGTTTCTAGAAAAAAAAATAGACACCATGCGAGCAGAAGGCACTATTATCACTTGTTTGGAAGTCTGTGTTTTGTTAACAAACGTGCCCCTGGTGACGCGTGGATCAGCGTGGTTTATTACAAGCAAGCCTGCGTGGGGCTCCTCACATTCCCGTTACTGGCCTGGGGAGGGTCCGAGTCTCAGCGACTTTCCAAACCAGAGCAAAACCACCCATAAAAAGTGTGATGAAACAAACACTGGGGCAGGGGGATTTGGTGTTCTTTCTTCTCCCCTTGCCAGCAAGTGAAGAATTTAACACCGCCATCCGTCAGAGCTTGCAGGCAAAAGCCACAAATCTCTGTGGTTCTGTTTGACATATTGGCACCGTGCCAAGTTCACAGGACGCTCTGTCTAGAATCCTGGGACCTCACCGAGTCTCAGCAAGTTCACGCAAAGGGCCGAGTCAGTAACCTGGATGCAAGTGGCTGTTCATGCATTTAGCTTGTTCCTTGCCCACCTGCACCCAAGGCCCTTCCAGAAGAGCCTCATAAAGTGATGCTCCCTGACATTCAGCACACACCGACTTCTCTTCCCGTTTCCTGGTTCTTTAGTAGATCCCCCCAGAGGGCAGGGATACTGTCGGACAATCGCATGACTTCACTGCCCTCTCTCCAGCTCATCAGAAATCCTTTGGCTGTTATATGAGTGAAACGTGCTTTTGAAAGGGTGACATGGGTGTCGTCTGTAGGTGTCTCTACCAACAGTTGACCACCCATTTCCTTGACCTCACACCATTCTAATCTACTCCCAGTGTTCATGATCCTCCCCAGACGGCCTTAAGGACCAGAGGAAGGAGGTGGAGGATGTAGCAGAAACTTCCTGCACTGAGCAGCATTGCTCATGGAATTTCAAAGCACTTGTCAGTGTAAGAGGCCTCCATTTCTCTGATAAAAATAATGAAAAGTGCTTGGGTTTATGAGATGGGCTCTCTGTAAATTCTCATCAAGGAGGACAGATATATTATGGGAAGAGAGAGTTTTTCTGTATAAAGTGTTGCTAGGATCCTTCCTGCTGGGAGACTGGTTCTGTCTCCTCCCCCACCCTCCTTCCCCTTCTCCTCATTCCTCCTCCTCCTCCTCCTCCTCTTCTCTTCTCTCTTTTCCTCTTCTAATTTTTCTTGCTTTGCTTTGAGGAAATCAAGATCTTCTGAAAGTTGATGATTTTGGTCACTCAGTTTGCTTCCATGTGACCTCTGATCATAGAGAGCGGACTTGAAGTGCTGGGGGAGGGGGTCCCAATTGCAACCCTCCCCCTGCTTGGGTTTGGACATGTTCAGTGTCCAGACTCATTCGCTCATTTCAGGATGGTGGGACATCTTTGTATCCAGGCACAAAAGGAAAGGAGGGCTGAGCAGGAGTAGGGGGAGGAGAGGCTGTAAGGCTCCACCCAGGCCTCCAGGAGGCCTGCCCCTCTTCCCTTCTCCCCTTCCCACGCCCCTAGCTGGGTCTCAGCCCGGTGCAGTGGCTGTAGTCCCAATTGGTAAGCTGAGACTGGAGGAGTTTGTCATCAGCCTGGGCAACATAGCAAAGCAGACAAACAAAAACAACACAACACAACACAACTGCGGTTAGGGGACTTCCCATTGTACTCCCATAATTCCCTGCAAATGTGTCAACCGTTGTATTCACCATTGTTTTTGGTAACTGGCTGTATTACTTGGAGTTACCAGAGTGATTACTGATCCTCGTTAAACGAAGCACAGTGAAAAGACTGAAAGTAAATATTTCAATTGTAACAGTTTTTTAAAGATTATAATAATGCACTCAGAATTATAATAATTTCTAACAGTAATAAAGCTTCTTTATGTACTCCATTTCTCATTCTATTAACTGGAACATATGGAAATCAATATTGGTGAGAGGTCCCTCTGTGGGAAGCAGTTTGATAAAAAATCTGAACAGAGCTAGGGGTGTGGCTCAGTGGTAGAGCACTTGCCTAGCACGTGTGAGGCGCTGGGTTTGATCCTCAGTACCACACAAAAGTAAATAAATAAGAAAAAGTTTTTAAAAAAACAAATCAGTGTCTACCAGGCTGGGCTGGGCCTTATTTGTTGAGCAGGAAGCAAAGAAAGAGGAGTAGTTAGAGTGCTAAAGCCCCTTTAAGGGAGTACCTCCCATGGCCTAACTTCCTCTCTCTAGGTCCCACCTCTTAAAGGTTCCACCATTTCTTAATAATGCCGTAGGCTGGGGATAAGCCAGCTAGGCCTATGGGGGACATTTATCCAAACTTAGTGTGTGTGTGTGTGTGTGTGTGTGTATATATATATATCTCACATGCCTTTTTTTCTGGAGGGTGAGAACTCTGTTTTTCAGATTTGAGTAGCTGAAGATTAGCATAGGACCTGGAATATAGCAAGGATTCAACAACTGTTTACTGAATAAAGAAATGAAGGCAGGCAGGATTTAGGAAGTGGGACTACCCTGAAGAAGAAAGGAGTGAAAAGAGAACGCAAAGCCACGAACTCAAATTTAATTTTATGAAGGAAGAACTATCAGTTAAATTAATTTATTATTATTATTATTATTATTATTATTATTATTATTTTTGTGATACTGGGGATTGAATTCAGGGACTCCTTACTACTGAGCTGCATCTCCAGCCCCTTCTAATTTTTATTTTGAGACAGGGTTTTGCTAAGTTGTCCAGGCTGGCCTCTAATTTGTGATCCTCCTGCCTCAGGCTCCTGAGTAGTGTGACTTGCAGACATGCATCACAATGCCCAGTTCAGTCTGATTTTATGAACAAGGAAACTGAAGCTTGGTGAGTGTGTGACATGTTCAAATGACACAGCTGGGAAAGCCACATCAGGAACCCATGTCAGAAAGCCAGATTGACTTTGAATTTAGTGTTCTTGACCATTTAACTGTCTCTTACAGGCAAGCTTGGCAAATGCGTTGGTTTATGCACACCTGTTGATGAAGTCCTTCCCTGAATCTGACCCTGACCCGAACCCCATCTTCTCTGACCTTCTGGATGTGCAAAGCCTGCAAATATCATCATTGCGAGAAAAAATTAAATTTTTTAATATTCCAAATTTTGGGTTTTAGAACCACATTTTCTCCTCCTCTTTCTCTTTTTGAAATTTCTTTGCCTCCAGGCTTATTTATTTATTCCTGGGCTACCACATATATTCCTGAGATCCTGGATGGTGGAAAGTTGTCCTTTAAAAGCAGAGGGCACTGTGGGTACAGATGGATGCTTCCATTCAAATCTGCAGCCAGGACATTTTCTTCTTGGGAAAAGCCACTCCCTCTGCCCTCCCTGCTTCTGACCTTGAACGGTCTCAAGGTGGTGATCATTAACATAAATGCCCAAAGCAGATCTTGCTTGCTCCCTTCTGAATGGAGCGGGGACTTCTCTGGTTGCTGTTCTGGTTTGGAAGGACAGTCTAGGGTGGATGTCAGCTGCTCCTGGACGTGAGGAAGAGAGACTAATAAAAGGCATTAAAAACATCTTTCTCCTTATTTCACTTGACGCCCTGCGTCTGTCACAGACCCTGCCCGACTGACAGGACGTTACACAAATAACCCCTTCTTAAGGAGCCGAGAGGCGGCAGCGGGCATTTTTTCATTTGGAGTCTATCAACTGAGAATTGATAAAGTCATCACGGAACAACTGTAGTTTGACCCTGACCTGCCAAAGGAGATCGAAAACGTCTGGAGTGGAGGGAGGCGAGGGGGCCGGCGACGTGGCCGCCTCGGGAAGGCGCAGAGTCGGCCCGGGGCTGACCGGGCGCTCCGCGAGCGTGTTTAATAACTGCAAAGTAAATAATGAAAGGGCAGTCAATAAACAATTGTGGTTTAATAAATTATTCATTTTAACAATACTTGCAGTGTTTGCCCAGGGATGGAGCCGGCTGGAGGCTTCTTCCCTGCGCGCCGCGGCTCGGAACCCTCCTGTTGTTCACCGTTCTGGACAGCAGAGGGCACTCGCGTCACGCCCGAAAAAGGCAGAGGCCCACCCCTCCCGGTGCCCCTCCTGGTTCATGGAAAGAGAGGCGACAGGGAAACGTCGAGAAGAGGTGGAGAGGAAGATAGAAAATGAGTGGATAGGGACGGAAATGAAAAAAATACATTTTCCACAGGCTGATCAAATTCAACCTTGCACCGCAGCTAGGCATCTGCAAACAAATCGAAAACAGTCACTCTGTATTTCCTTGGTTAAAATAACTTATTTATTTGAAAGCCATAGGATGACAGATTGGGAACAGTCAGGGCAAGGGCAAGGAGATATCCGAGACATTTAACAGATTTATTTCCATCTTGAAAATGGAACTCTGATTTTTTTGTTTTGTTTTGTTTTGTTTGTTTTTGTTTTTCAGGAAACACTCTCAGGATCAGGTGGTTTTCCTGAGCTTCACCGCCAAAGAGACAGCAAGAATGCCAACCAGCTGCTGAGGGGCCCGAGGCTGCCTTTTAATTTAGGAGACAGGGTCTCACTAAGTTGCCGAGGCTGGCCTTGAACTTACAATCCTGCTGCCACAGCTTCCCAGGTTGCTGGGATCACAGGTGCACACTACCCTGGCTGGCTCCCTAGGCTGCACGGAACAAAGCCCCAGCACAATTTAGAGCTTACCCTTCATGGAAATGAGTTCCTAATATCAGCCCAATTCTGCGTTCATTTTCTGTTCTCATGGCCCTGTGCCAGGGCTTTATTTTATTTATGAAATTGTGTCATATGAGGCAAAACTCCTATTGTAGGTTGAGAAGGGCCATTGTCATCCTGGGATATTTACTGTACGCCTAGGTGCTGAGGTGTAATCTGTCCTCTGCAGTAATGCAGATACGAAAGCCAGTGGTATTTATTTATAATAACGCGGGAGGCAGCCTGCAGGGAAGTGTCATCTTGTTTGTAATCAATCCCAGTGTGAGGCTGTTGTTGCCGCACAATCAGGTTTTGCATTAAGTGACAAATTGGCTTCGTCTTCTTATTCTGACTGTCATTTTTCTTCAGTGGGGATATATCATCTCTGTTACAAGGCCTTGGAGCTTACACACACACACACACAAATGCATGCCTTGTGAATGAGCTCAGGAAAAAAGCCACCATCTCCCATGGGCTTACAAACAAACCCTAATTCCTGCCACTCCTGGGAATGAGCACGAATGTGTTGAAGAAAGCTGGCAAAGTAGAAGAGCGTGCTGTGCGTGTGGTGAGGTAAACATGGCTGTATCTGGTGAAGGCGTGTCATTGCTACGGATTGAATTGATTCGACAAATCCATACACTGAATCCCTACTACCAACGTGAGTGTGTTTAAAGACAGGGTTGGAGCTGGGGGTGTAGCTCATTGGCATAGTGCTTGTCTAGCCCACATGAGGCCTAGGTTCAACCCCAGTACAAACACAAAAAATGGGTCTTTGAGAGGTAATTAAGGTTAAATGAGGTCATAGGGGTGGCACCCTAATCCAATATGGCTGGCACTTCTGAGATGAGGAAGAGGCACTAGGGATATGGGTACAGAGTTTTCTCTCTGAAGACACAGCAATGTGGTAGTCATCTGCAAGCCAGGGAGAGAGTCCTCAGGAGAAACCAAATCTGCCGATAACTTGATCTTCAACTACCAGCTTCCAGAACTGTGAGAAAGTGGATTTCTGTTGTTTTAACTGCCCTGTCTGTGTCATTGTGTTATAGAAGTCTCAGCAGACTCACACGGTCATTAATAAACTGACACTGGTGCTGTGTTCTGGATGTCTGTCTGTGTTGCAGCCCTAAAGCCCAAGGTGATGGTATTTGGAGGTAGGGCCTTTGGGCAGCTTTTGGTCACTACAACAAAGCACCTGACACAGGCTACTTAGAAAAGAAAGGTTTATTTAGCTCACAGTTTTGGAGGCTGAAAGTCCCAAATGTCACAGTGCAGGCTTTCTTGGTGCTCCTTGGCTGCACCACCTCATGGAGCAGATAACAATGGCAGAGCAGGTACAGAATTGCGTACATGGTCACATCTCAAACCAGGAGCAGAGAGAGCTGGGTGGGACTGGGCTTATTTCTTCCACATCCACCCTCTAGTGAGAACTCAAGGGTCTCACAGGACTGCCTTCTGAGAGCACACCCTTGTGACCTAAGGACCTCCGAGTAGCCCCACTATGACGTTTCTACCACCTCCAAGGACACCCCTCTGCGGACCAAGCTTTCAATCACATGAACCTCAAATAGGACACACTTAACTAATATCCAAACCATAGTGGGAGGTAATTAGATTTAAATGAGATGAGGAGGGCAGTGACCCCAGGATGGGTATAAATGTCCTTATAAAAAGAGGAAGGAGACCCCACCTTGCTCTTTCTTAGTCACGTGAGGACTCAGCAAGAAGACGGCTCTCTTCAAGAAAGGAAGAGAGTGCCCATCACAACCTAGCCCTGCTGGCCCCCCAGGATGTGGGCTTCTGGCCTCCAGAGCTAGAAAATAAATAAATGTTCAGACATTCAGTCTACGGCGCTCCGTTATGACAACTGGAGCAGACTGATACGGAGAGTGGTAAGAGAAGTGGTGCCTGCTGTAATGTGACAAGTCCCCAAGACTGTGGAGGTGGTTTTGGAACTAGGGAAAGAATAGAGGCTGGAGAATTTTGAGGTGTTTGCTGAAAAAGGCTGAGATTCTGGTGAGAGAAGGGAGCTGTGGGGAAAGGTTCCATTTTCTTAGAGAATACGTAAATAATCATGAGCAGAACGTTGGTAGGAATATGAATGGGAACAACCCTTCTGGTGAGGTCTCAGGTGGACTGGAGGAGCATTTTCTTGGAAACTGGAGAAAAGGCAATCCTCACATAGTAATTATGTATCATATAGAATTACATATGTAATGTGCCGTTAAAGGCAAGCAACTTGGCTGGATTGTGTTTGTGTTACAGTGTTTTGTAGAAAGTAGAACTTGTAAGCAGTGGAATTAGGTATTTCGTTGAGACTTCTAAGCAAAGCATTGAAGGAGTGACTTGGTTCTTCGTACCTGCTTGTAATAAAATCTAAGAAGAAAGAAATGAAAAAAAGGATCATTAAATAGAAAGAAGCAGAATTTAAAATTCTGGGAACTTCTCAGTCTTTGCCCATTACAAAAAAAAAAAAAGAGAGAGAGAGATACCCTGACAGAAGAGACCACTAAGAGTATGGCCAAATAGCCATTTGATAAGGAAATCTCCATATCAGATCTTCATATCTAGTGTGAAACATGCCCCCAATTATCCTCCCACCCCAGCAGGAACAGTGCCAGTTTGAACTAAGGGGTAGAGACAGGAGGAAGAGAAGGAAGGCCATTGGACTTCTAAAATTCTATAGGATTGGACCACGGATCAATTCAGCTGTGAATGTGTGCTGGTCTTCAAGATGAGGGAATAAGGACCCTGTAGGTCATCACAGTTGCCTCTTTGGTTTCAGTGTGTGTGTGTGGGGGGGACGTCCATCACTTGGTTTCAACAGTCCAGACAGCAGTGCCCTGGGTCCCACAGGGGTGGGGCTGCCTGAAGCTCCCACCTTGCGGAGTCTGTCCCTTGCTGGCTTTGAAGATGTGAGAAGCCACGCTGAGGAGCCCCATGTGGCAGGATCTGCAGGTGGCCTGTAGAAGCTGAGGGCCACCTCTGGCTAATAGCCACCAAAAAACTAAAGGCTGAGACAGGAAGACCTCAAGTTTCAGGCCAACCTGGGCAACTTAGTAAAACCCTGTCTCAAAACAAAAATAAAAAGGAAAAGGGTTGGGGATATAGCTCAGCGGTAGAGCACCCCAGAGACTTACGGCCTGACTGCATTCTGCCAATAATCTGTGTGAGACTGAAAGTAGATCCTTCCCTGGCTGAGTCTAAGATGAGCTTGGAGGCCCGGCCAACACCATTTTGGTGGCTTGGGAAACCCTTAGCAGAAGGTCGGCTAGGCCATGCCAGGTTCCTGACCACAGAAACCATGAGGTAGTAGGCGAATGTTTTTTCAATTACCAAGGTTGTAGTGATGTTGTTAGACAGCAGTAGGTGACACCGGAAACCTTATCATCTTCTTAAAAAATGTAACCAAATGGTTGAAGGAATCTTCCTTAACAGTATTAGCTAAGTTTTTTTTTTTTCATATTTTTTAGTTGTCAATGAACCTGTATTTTATTTATTTATACGTGGTGCTGAGAATCAAACCCAGTGCCCCGCACATGCCAGGCAAGAGCTCCACCACTGAGCCACCGCCCCAGCCCTCAGCTAAAGTCTTAAAGGCCAATTTACCTGAACACCTGGAACAAGACTTACTTCCTATTTAGACTAAAGTCAGGAGTTAGGTGAAAAGCGAAAATAAATTGCAAGGAATGGAGCTTATACAGTTAATTGTAACATGCTTATTACCGGGCATGGTTATAAACAGTCTGTGATTATTGGTTGTATAAAGGAAGAGGCTCCCCAGGGGTTTCCTCCCGTGCTGAGATCCCCTCTTTCCTAGGGCGTCTCGCTATCTTACCATAGCATCCAGACACCCCATTCCTACATGTTCTCTAGGTCCAACTCAAACACTGTCGGTACCAGGGAATCATCCATATAATTTTATTTTATTTTTTCTGTTCTGAGGATTGAACCTACGTGTGCTCTACCCCTGAGCTGTATCCCAGCCCTTTTCCTTTTTTATTTTTGTTTTGAGGCAGGGTCTTGCTCAGTTACCTAGATTGGCCTGAAACTTGGGATCTTCCCGCCTCAGCCTCCCAAGTCTCTGGGATTAAGGACATGTACCAACAAGCTCAGCCCATATCAGTTCTTCATTTTAAGTCACAAAAAAGTCCTCAAGTTCTCTTGAGAAGTAGAGGAATGTTATAGGCTCATGTCATTGAAGTGTCTATAGGTAAACTGGGCTTTGTGTGAGGTTGATAAGGTGTACAGAATCATTAGGATTCTAAGTTTTCCTTTAATTTAAGCAGTTTTATTCCCTCTGAATTTCCTTACAGTAACAAAAAGGACTTTATTTCACTCTTTCCAGAAGAAGAGAAAATACTTTGACCCTGCAGTTGCATGCAAAGCCCTGAGAATCAGGCTGACGGGCCTCCTTAGCCCAGATGCTTTCCTCTGAGCTTATTGTTGGACTAGAGGGTGGGAAGTGCTGATTGACATGGAAAACCTCGGGTGTTCCCCTGATAGAATCAGCTCCCCTGGAACTGAAGAATTGCCAAACAGAAATCAAAGTGCACCCAACCTTTTAAAACTGTGTTTTTCTACCTCTAAATAAAAAATGTAGTAAGAATGTAGAAATAATGAACACATAATGAATAAATGGTTTGGCAAGTTATATTGTTCCAATCTTTAGCCAAGTTAAGATGTTTGTTTCCGATTTTGATCCTTCTACATTTGTGTGCAGATGGCAGGCTCTTCGTAATTATAGTACACGACTTCTTCAAGCAAGTTCTACACGTGACCCTTGAATACGTCCCTGAAACCCCCAAACTGGTGGGTGTAGGTGAACTAGGCCTTGCCCATGGGCCTTACACATTTCCACCTGGTTTTTCTACCATTACTTTAGAATTTTTGTTATGAACACGAGTCTGCTGGAACTCAAAGATCATCTGGGGTCTTTGTGATGGTTAATTTTAGGTGTCAACTTGTCTGGGTGGAGGGACGATGCCTGGGTGGCGGGTGAGGCATTGGTTTTGGGTGTGTCTGGGAAGCTGTGTAGAGCCCCGGGTTTGTCAATCAATACCCCACCCCACTGCTAAGACGGTAGCTCAGAGGAGAGCACCGTAGGCCAGGCAGGCCATCAGGACGATTCTCAGCCTTTGTGTTTCTCTTCCTCCGGAAGAGGCTTGTAAGTTGGTGGACTGAGTGGGGAAGATGTGCCTTCAGTGTGGGTGGACACCATCCAATTGACTGGAGGCCCAGTGGAGAAGGGTGAACTCCATGTGCCCACCCCTCCTGTGTTAGAGTCTGTAAACAAGTCTGGATGGCGCCTGACAAAATGCCAGAGGGAGTGGTTTGTGAAGTAACGCCAGTGAGCCATTAAGTGTGGAGATTCCTTATTGGTTGACTGATGTATCTAGTTTATGCTAATTAAGATAAGCTGTGTGGAATGTATATATACCCCTCCTTTCCTACAATAAACGGCTCCCACTCCTGCTGTATCAATCTACACAAGTTGTTCGTCACCCCCCCCGGTTATTTTGCTGCAGCCGGACTGCGGCACTCCTGGAGTGGGAAGCCCTTCTCCTCTTGCTCACGTTCACCTGGACTTCTGACCCTTCAGCCTTTGGACTCTGAGACTTATGTCAGTGGCTTTGGGCCCTTGGGCCTGCAACCTTGCACTGAGTGACGGTGTTTCTGGTTCTCCAGCTTGCAGACGCCTAGAGTGGGACTTCCCGGCTCTAGTTCCCCCAGTGAATCCTGTCTCATATATCTCTATCTCTATCTGGATCTCTCTCTTGGATTGGTTCTATCTCTCTGGAGAATTTTAGTACAATCTTTTATGTAAACTTATTAAAACATGTTAAGAGACAACTGAAATCTCATTTTGCACCCTTTCTGAACAAATAATTCCACTAATAGTTTCTTTTTAAATATAATAAGGGACTGTATGTGTTGGTGGTTAAATTCAGGGTCTGGCTTTTGATTCTGGCCCCACCACTTCAGGACCTTGTGTCTCCCAGCAGGATTTTCTGCCTTCCAAACCTCAGTGTTCTTATTTGTAAATGGGGAAAACAATAGCAATAGGACAGAATGGTCCATGCATATGAAAATAAAGTTCCCCCAA